AAAAAAAAAAAAAAAAAAAAAAAAAAAGGCTGGGAGCTACCATCACAGAACTAAGGTTATACATTTAAGATGTAAAATTATGCAGGTGAGAATTAAAAACTTAAGTCAACAATCAGAGGATTTCGTATTTCTGTTTGTTACTTCTCCATACGCTTCATGTAAAATATTCTGCCTGAGTTCTTTTTCTTTTTCTCATGCTTGCTATTGTTTGGACAAAAGCCTACCTATTGAGACGGCAAACATTGATCAAATCATTCAATGTCTTAGGCCTCAACAACTAAATAAATACCTCTTTTTTTCCTGACAGTTCTCCAGGGATGGAATTCATTTTTGATTTTGAAAGAAAAAGAAAAAGAAAATATAACATCTGACTAAAGATCGGTATATAACAAAGAACTGGGAATTCTTTTATCAACATAAGTTTTATGTAATTGTTTCTAACTAAATTACTTCTATTTTTTGACCTAATAATAAGTGTAAAGACTGTTTCTGGATTGATAGAAAAAAAGTCTTTTACTCAATTTTGAACATTTTGGCATATCAAGTAAATAAATGATTTAATATTTGATTCTTTAGTCATTGTTTTTTAATATATGTAACTAAATTATTTTTGTATTATGGTATAATTATTTCAGATGTACAAGAAATCCGTCCATCAAAAATACTTTACAAATAATACCACTTCTGGTAAGTATTGGAAGAAACTCTTTTTTTCTTGTTTTAGGAAAGTTTATGTTTTTATGTACATATCAGTACAGGTAGGAACCCTGTATTAATATTCATATTTCTTGAGATTGGTTTTTAGAGTTTTTCTCCTCAACTAACGTTTTATTGTGAGACCTCGTCTACAAAACAAAAAAATTAGCCAGGCATGGCGGCATGTGCCTGTAGGCCCAGCTACTTGGGAGGCTGAGGCAGAAGGATCACCTGAGCCCAGGAGGTCGAGGCTGCAGCGAGCTGTGATTGTGCCACTGCCCTCAGCCTGTGCAGCAGAGTCAGACCTTGACTCAAAAAAAAAAAAAAAAAAACCTTTTTTTTAAACCTATGTTTTAGGGTCTTGCTAATTTGGGTAAAATAGTGAATAACAAAGCAGGCTGTTTCTGCCCTCATGAAGTTTATTCTTTCTGTCTGGGCACATGATTCCAAGAACAAAAGCGACCTTTGGCATTTTGGATGATGTGATTTTTTTTTCTGGCCCTTTGATCTTTCTGTGATATCAGCAAAAATGTTTATAGCCACATGCTTGATTTTTTTTCTACACAGTAAATCTCAATTTTAGCATTTTTTTGCATCTTGTTAGGCAGGGAATTTCCCAAATCATCAAGTCGTTTTCCCTTTATATTCCCCAGTGCCTCTCTCTTTCTCCCTTTTCTTGCATTTTACGATAAGCAGCATGAAGAAATCAGGCTGTACCGCCAACGCTGTGCTTGGAAAGATCCTCAGCTCCATATCCAGTTTCAGTGTTTATAAGTTCCACGGTCCACAGAAGTGCAGGACACAGTTCTGCTAAGTTTCCTGCCCACTTCCTCCCAGAGCCCCCGTTGCTCAACTCTCTGGTAGCACGTGTCTCATGTCCCTCTGAGTCACCCACAGGACCATGAACCGCCGTATTCTACTGACCGTCCGCTCGTAGTGACTTAAAGGTCCTCCAAATGATGGGTTTCCTGCCCTGCTCTCCACTCCTGGGTTCTCACCAGCAGAGGCATTCGCCTCCCTGTTTCCATAGACCGTTCTGTTCCAGACAGTCTAGGCTCTTCCCACCCCTCGAAATTCTCTGAGCCTCTACCCGTTGCCTCATTCCAAAGCCACCTTCACATTTTGAGGTATTTATTACAGCAGCACCCCATTTCCAGTAAAAAAAAAAATAGTATTAATTCCCTGTTGCTGCTGTAACAAATGACCACAAACTTAGTTGCCTTTAGAAAAAACCACAGGTGTGTTATCTTAAAGGTCCAGAGGTCGGCAGTCTGACACTGGTCTCACTGGCCTAAAATCAAAGTGTGAGTGGGGCTGTGTTCTCTTCCAGAAGCTCCAGGGGAGGGTCTGCTTCCTTGCTTTTTCCACTGCATTCCTGAGTTCACGGCTCCCTCCTTCATCTTCAAAGCCACCAAGGGAAGTCCTGCTGACATCACATCCCCTTGGCCTCTTCCCCTTCTGAGCAGCCTCGTGATTCCATGGGGCCCCTTGGATAATCACGGCTTCTGTCTGAAGATCAGTTGATGAGCAAACTTAATTCCACCGGCAGCTTTAACCCTCCTTTGCCCTGTAACCTAACACACTCACAGGCTCTGGGATTAGGAAGTGGACATCTTGGGGTGGGGGAATGTGGTTCTGCCTACCACAGGGATATAAAGGCAAGGGAAGGTTTGGGGGGCGGAGACTAGTTGTCCTCTAAAATTCATTCGCCCCTTTTGTCCTTGGTAGTAAAATCTGTTTTGCAGATTTTACTGAAATCCTAGCTAACTTTTTAAAGGTGGAAGGTACTATAATGTTGTAACCGCTCTTCAGAAGCAGAGGAACAAAGTGTGGTTCCAAGATGGTGACCGAAGATCTCACACACACACACACACACACACGCACACCCCAAGAGCGCATGGTAAGTTGTACTACTAACGTAACTGAAGTTTCTGGGACAACGCGTCAGGCCTCCCAGGCAGATCTGAAATGCCTCGGGAGAGCAAGGCAAGGAGACTGGCCTGGGGGTGGCTTTGTGGCGCGATGCGGGGGCGGCTGGGGCTGAATCTCCCCCCAGAGCCAAAGGAAACGGCCCTGGGCTTTCCGTTCACAGGCCCAGAGGTGAAGCGGGGGAGAGGGCGGAGGGAAGCTTCGAAGCCGTCAGCAAACATCACGGAAGGAAACGGGCCCGGATGCAGGGACCCTGCCTGCATTCCCGGCCCTTGAGGAGCCGAGAAGGGGGGTTGCTCGAGGCCCGAAGTTCCAGACCACCAGGGCCGCATGGCCACCAAAAAGTCACCTCCTGGGGCATGGTGGCCCCTGGCCGTAGGTCCCAGCTGTTTCGGAGGCTGAGGCAGGAGGATGGCCTGAGCCCGGGAGTTCGAGGCTGGGGTGGACCGAGGTGGTGCCGCTGCGCTCTCGCCCGGCGGCGAGCCTCGGCCTCCGCCCCAGGAGGCAGCTTGAGACGAGGAACGCGCAACGACCCCTGGCGCGGCGGGGACGCGAGGCCGGCGAGGCGAGAGCAGGGGAGGACACGACGCCCGGGCCGAGACGGCGCCCGAGGTCTTGGGCCGGCCCGGGCGGACGCTGACGCCACCGG